GGGCGCGTTGAAGGGGTTCGCCCGCGCCAGGTGCGCCACTGACGAGAACATCTTCCTAGGGCAGGAGGAGCGGGAGGTCAGAGGAAAGGCAAAGGGCGCCGGCCGCCTGGGTCCCCGATCGGGGCCTTGGTTTTCCCGCCTCCGCGCCCTTGAGGAGGTCACGGCCGCCTCCCCAAAAGAGGAGGTCGGCCGGGCCTACCGCCAAAGCATCATCCCCCAGGGGCGCCGCTCGCGGCTCCCCGCCACCCCGCACCTGCCGCGCGATAGGCCGGACCATACTCACTCCTTAAGATGGCGAACACACCGGCGCTCCGCGGAAACGCAGCGGCTCCCAGAGGCCGAACGTCCTCCGAGCCCTTAGATGAGTGTCCTTCGCGCAACGTCAGCGTGACGTACGCAGCCAGTCACTACAGTCAGGCGACACCCATTGGCGGAGAAGAGCGCCGCGGCAGCAACGTCATCGCGTTCTCCTAGCAACCCTATCCCCGCCCCACCGGCCCCAGCCCTTCCGGTCCGGCTTCTGCGCAAGAGGATTCGTGCTGCGCAGGCGCGCGAGCGGGGCCGGCTTTTGAGTGGTGTGGGAGTTGTGCTCGTGACCTCCTCCTCCGTGTCCCTTCACCTTGAAGAGTCTCTCCTTGACGCCGGGGCTTCCGTTCTTTTCCATTTAAGTGAGTCCCGGTATAATAGTCGCTTAAAAAGCAAACAAACACGGAATGCTTGATGCAAATTATTTCGGGTGTTGCGGTTAGAATGTCCCTGCAGTATTTAGTGTCACTTCCATTGACGTGACATGTAGACATGTCTGCAAGACTTTAGGAGAGGATTTTAAAAGGAAATGTGCAGCAAGAATTCTAAAGGTAGACAAAACAGCTTGCTGCTTCATCACGGTATTTTATGTAACATTAAAACATTCAACACATGCCGTGTAAGCCCTGGGGGTCCAGAGATGAGCTAGACTAGAGTGAAAGTGGCTGGCAGCAGATGTTTGTGCGTTGAATAAATTTAGAAAATCTTCATTAGATTCAGTTTAACAGAGAAGGACCTACTTTAATGAAGGGAGAGTTTAGTAGAGGTCAAACCTCTGAGGAAAGAGTGAAAATATGGAATATATAAAACCGAGTCCCTTTAACCAAGCCGCTAAAAGTAACATGAAGGTTGAGAGGCACGAGAAACCCATTCAATTCTTGTTCCAACGAGCCTGGGAACTTAAACTTTTGAACTTTCCAGTCCATGTATCTGGACATAACCAGGTCTCTGATTACCCCCTGAAAAGGACTCAGGGCCCAGGACCTGACATCCGCCTGACAGCCATCATCCAGACTGCCTGACCCCTGACTGATAATCATCCTAGACTAGACTCTACCTTATGCAGTTTACACAGGACCCTGTGCTTGGTTTAATGCCATGTTGTCACCATTTGAAACTCTTAATAATTTATGAACATGTTAAAAAAAACAACACAGGATGCAACCAAGTAAATTTGAAGATCTAATTGGCTTTATCAAGCCATTCATGATTCGGGCAACATCCCATCTAGCAACTAGAAGAGTGCCCTGAAGGGCAACACAAAATGGAAGGTTTGTATAGGAAGAAGGATGAGCAAGGGAACTATCAACAAAAGAAAAGAAAGAATTCTTTTTAGACCCAGATATCTTCTTTTGGGATAAAGGAAAAGGCAAGGGTTTTAATCAAATG